AGAAGTTTACACTTTCCGTTCATGTTTAAAGTGAACGTAATCAAGAAAATAACGATAAACCAAATATATTATTACCTAGTTTCAATATTTTACATTTGACATAAAATTTTAAAAACAATACACACAAGAAGGAAGTGAAAGAGAAAATGGTCGAGATTTAAAAATCCATTCGTCCAAAAATTTTAAGATGATGTGATGTAAAACAATTATAAAAATATTCGGTTATCCTCAATAAATAAATTAGTAACGATGACCTTCCGTTTAATATATGCGATACGAACGAACTCCGGACTTATGTATGTTTGATAACAATTTACATATTACTCAACCATCTTCTTAATTTAATACATAATTCATAACATTTTCAGTTGTTTGATCAATGTTTGAGACGTGTCTAAAGTTACACCAGCTACATATAAGCTGTAACCGGAAACTACATTCTATTTACGTTAAAGTCGGAATAAAAGACCTAATACGTTGGACGCTAAAAATAATTATACTATTATTATATAATCGACTACAGTTTTTGGTTCTAAGCACGGACCACACGTCTGATATTCTCATCATTGCATTGCATCGAGTAAAAATTGTGGATTTTAAAAACAAGAGGGGGAATAAAAAAATTGACATAGCTTTCAAAAAATACCCTTTTGATCCCACATGATTTTCAAGACGGAAACACGATTGATATGTAATAACTGTACATACATATTTTTGATATATTATGGATCTGAAACGGAGGACAAATTTTGCTACAAAAACAGGCAAAATAGGTACTATGGCAAAATTTCAAAACTAGACAGTTACAACACTCTTGCCCGTAAAACACACGACAATTTTAGCTTGAATTATATCAAAAAATACTGTGCAAACAGGATTTTCTACAGATAGCGAAACAATATAAATGTTATCCTTGATATCTCCCAGATTTTTCTCATCTAAAGTGGTCATTAAGGACTAAAATGTAAATATATTAGAAAATTCATTAGTTGATGATTTTTTATAATATCGCATTTATAGATATCGCTTTTATAATTTTGGTTCGATTAACTAAATTCAGAAAGGGTTAAGGGAATGAACCGTTAACGTTGCATATTTTCATTGTCCTGATATTGAATATGACCATAAGAGTCGCATACTTCCGTCATTTATAGGATTTCTATTTTTAGAATAACATAATGACACCAATGAGATGGACAGTATTTTTGACCTTGTATTATTTAGATAAAATCCTTAGGTAATGAAGACAAACACCATCTCGCATTAATAGCACATGCGTGTGAGATTTCAATAAGTTTCAAATTAAAATGATTCAAAAATTATACAGTTTTAACATAAAATTCATAATTTAAATAATTCTATTATTGAAATCGATTAGATTGATATAAGAGTGAATTCCTTGATGTCAATGACTGCCATCAGATATTAAAAAAACAATTTTCATTAAAAATTATGATACGAAGTAAACGACTCTCGAAACAACGGTTTTAGAATGTGATATTGCCGTCAATATACCTACCTTATATTTACATTCGTTAGTTCAAGCATTCAAGTACTGAACTGAACAGAAGGAACCTAAAGTTGACAGATGTGCCTTTGTCAAAACGTCATTTAGCAACTACAATAATTCTAGTTTCCTTCTATTAAGAAGAAACTGTAATAAGCGGTCACCAGCAAGAATCTGAAGATGCAAATGTGACTACCTAAACGTCGTGCATGGAAGTGATGAAAGATAAATTGTAAATTAGGGGTGTAGATATTTTAGCCGTTAATACAATAATTATACCCTACAAACTAACGCATTTTTGTAACATTATAAACTTATCAACCCTTATAACATTTATTTATAATGAGTCGAAAGTACCCTATAAAAGAGGGTGCATGATCTATTAGTCATGTTAAGAATACATGGAAATGGGGTAGGTACAAATATTTGGTAAATGAAATGAAACAACATTCTCCGACGTGAGTAGAAACCCAATATGTTGTTACTAACGTTGAAATAATGGACTATGCCAATTTTTTGCTCACTTCCATTTTTGTTTGGATTTCCTTGTTTTTCGCTTTGATATCTGTGTGTATCTGTATGTATGTATGTATGTATGTATGCATAGCTGCTTAGCTAAAATTATTTCGCTCTTTAGAAATGTATTTTAATTAAACAAGCTATTTTATAAACAACAGTTCAATTAACAAATACATTCATAGGTAGTCTGGATGTGAAAATAATTTTACATACATACAAAATACTAATTTTATTTAAGAAAGATTTCTTATCTTAAGAATTTTTAGCTTTTTACCGGGTTAATGACATGATTTGGAATAGAATTAGATCTCGAGATTCATGAATAAGCAAAACTACTAAATATTTTATATAATATTCTTGCTGTGAGATGAATTAACTTTTAACAGAAAACTTTCATAAAGCACGTAGATGCCAATTACTGATAAAAATAATTAGTACAATCTCGCCTAGAAAGTGTCAATTACAAGATTACAGGTACTATTTTTTTACTATATACATTTTTTTTATTTCACAATTAATGCATTATGACAAACATATTGGTAAGATTTTGTTGAGGAGACTAGAATTTACCTTTGAACCAAATAATAAGAATTTTAAATTTACATGTGGTAGTCGGAAGGTGATAAATTCAAAAAATCGCATCAACATTTAATCGTAAAAATCGAAATGTCGTCTGGAAAAATTATTCGGAATTGAAAATAGAGGCCAAGTAATACAGTGTCCCCGAACGTTGTTGAAATTCGGTGTCGACATTGTTATTCTAAAATTTTAGAAAAAATATTATTTTTGATGAAAAGTTTGATTTTCGACAGATTTTCTATAATAAATTAGCAAATAAATACTAAATTGACAGACGTCACGTTGTACAACAATTTTTGCACTACAAAACTAAGCTGTGTGAGCAGCGATTCATTATACTAGTAATTTTTTTTGACAAATGTACCTGTCGATGCTCTAGATGTGGTTCGGAATCTACAATAAACTGTAGGGCCTCGTCTCCCTTTGCCCAAGATAAAATCCTAGATTTTTAAGGAGTTACTTCGATGACTTGGAAGGTGGTTATGAAAACATTTTTTTTAAAAACATTTAAGCATTGCGATGGATCCGGTACGTGCTACAATATGAAGACTGAAGAGGGTTACGGACGACTATATTTTAAAAATCGCCCACAATTTATTATCTAGTATTTCCAGCTAATATTCACGCTTTCGTATCATATAATTTATAGTACTCGTTTTTTATTTATGCAGAGGAGAGTGGTGACAATTTCTGTATCAAAGGAACCTAAAGTCAATTTGCGTTATTAATTAAGTGATAATTAATTATCGAATAAGAAATTATAATAGGCATGATATTCAAGCGTAACAAATGATTTTATTATTGAATAATATATCAAGTTACACACATTTACATTTCATTCTACATGTTTAGGAAAAATTTTCATTTTGAGTGCACAAATAACATACTAAGCAGAAACTAACTAAAAATTCAAAATTGATTACACTTTCGGTGAAACCGGAAGTGGTATTAATAATATACGTTCTTCAAAATAAGCCCGTTTACTTCTCATACGTGAGTTTTAAATTTGAAAATTTTATTCCAATTTTTAAAAAAACGGCGGGCTGATACATGATCCCGTTGACACTCGGTATTGGTTTTTAGTGTTATAAGTTATAATTATACGATGATCCTTTTTAGTCGTTCTTCTAATACCTCCCTCACCTCAACGGCGCCGGCGCGGCGTTCTTCCCAGCACGTTGTAAGATTCCGACCAACTCAAATAGCGATTTGTCCCAGAAACATGCTCTTTGCTTCATGCATGCATTCCAAATACCTCTTCCGTTCAAATTCACTCGATTGCGAACAAGTGATCGTACTATAATAAATATAGTGACATAAAACGATAATCTCGAAACTCTGAAGGAACAACAAAGCAAAAAAATCCTTTTTCAAAGTACTTAAGTAGATTAAGGACTAGGTGTTGAATTTTCCATGGCATATGACATGTATGGCTCTATAATACATCGAGTATTTTGACTCACAACATAATTAATTTTTTACCTCAAATAGCCGTACTACACGATCCAATAAATTGTCCTATTTTGTGACCTTCAATTTATTGGTGTGTGTAATGCAAGAAAATCTGCGGATTTATCGGTCCAATAAAATTGTTCAATAAATTGAGTAATTAGAACATGTTCTATTTTTCGACGATTTTATAGGGACTTTCTCGTAACATTTCTTATTTCGCTGTATTACCAACTGTCAGAAGTGTCAGGTTAGATTAATTCGTTTTAATATTCCTAATCAGAAAAAACAAAATACACTAAAAACAGAATGGCTATTGCGAATGTCAATATACCACTAATCAGGGCGATAAGCGACAACTGAACGGCAACACAGTCTGGGAAATAACTAAATGGACGGTTGGCGCACTTGATGTATCAAAAATAAATTGAATAAAAATTCGATGCTGACCCCTTCTACAATCAATCGATCGATTTCTAACTAAATAATTTGACCAGCATGACGGCCGATTTATCGTTTCGTGTAATACGTATTAGCATACGGCCATAAGAGTGAAAATACGTAGGAGCACTATCATTTAAAACCATTTTAAAGCAATATAATCCATTGATATTAAATTTGATTAATCTATTATCATTATCTTTATATGAAGTACACATAAGACAAGTAATACTTAAAAAATTATAATTTATAAATAAATATGATTTAACATCATTTAAATGGGGAAAAAATATATCTAGACTGTAAATAATTGGCGCTTTGACGTCTGACACCTCTGCATACTGTATATTCCAAGTTTTAACGTATTCTTAGATAAGGAAAGTTTGCATGGTTTGAACAAAAAAGCATATCATCTACCTACTCAACGAATGATAATAACGGACGACGGTGACCATGATCAATTCATTCAAAGGTGAAACAACAAAACATTCAATCATCATAAACCAGTTCGGTGGCGTAGCTGGTTAGAGCACGCGATGGTAATTGTGACTAGAAATCTTATATCGTGGCTGCGGGTTCGAATCCCGCCACCGGCACTGGCAATGTCGCGTCGGTGGGCATGGCCGTATGTCCACGTCTTTCTAAGTGTAACAGCTTCGGTTTTGGATTTCGGAGGATGCCTAATTTCTGTGGTGTTTATTATTGTATTATTATTATTATTCATCTCTAGACGATGACAATGTAGTTGGCGACATGCCTGTCGAGTTTAATGTGCAACGTTTTGAGAATTGTGGAAACTACTTCATTGCACGGTTTAAAAAAAGGGGATTACTGCTCCATCCTGGGTGTTTATATCGGTATATGATTTTCGAGGTCCTATTATCATATTTTGCGTTCCCATATAACCTTCCCTAATATTTGTAACATAACGGCTAACTACGAGTATACTGTGCACAGAAAGTTAGGAATATTTCATATTCTTATGAAAGAATTGGACTAAACAAATTCGTTATGGGGGTGATTAACAACTTCTTTATTAACCTTTTTGCATAATTTAGGAACAAGGAAAAACAACTTTAGTTTAAGAAATGTTTAGCCGTGGGGGAACCAACGGTGTCCTAAACCTATCATCAATATCTCGTATTCTGGCCCCTCACTCTAATTACTGAGTATACGTTTGGACGTGCTTCCATATAATGTGGTCGATTACATCTTGTGGGATTTGCGACCATAAAATGGGAAGAATATCTGACAGTTCTCTGGAGCCGGTTGACGGTTTTGAAACGCCGTACCATATAAATTCCACATATATTCAATGAGATTCAAGTCGGCAAAACGCGGTGGAAGTAGATCGTGATCAAGGACGTTGCATTCTTGCTGAGTACAATGGGGGCGAGCATTATCATCAATAAAAATAAAATTTTCGCTAATGGCTGCTTAAAAAGTCATCACAATGTTACTGACAATATCATTGGTATACAGTCAGTCATAGTCCCCTGCAGATGTAGATTGGTACGTCCTCAACACATATTACTCCCCAGACATAACACCGGCCTCCTCTAAGAGCTACTGTGAGTTGGATAAATCGTTGGCTATATATCTCCCCTGGCATCCTCCAAACTCGTAGACGTCTGCTATCGCTGTGCAAGCTGAAACGAGGCTCACCGCTGAAAAAACTGAACCCTATTCCGTGTCCCAGTTTTGATGATCCTTTGCCCACCTTAAACAGACCGCATGGTCAGCTGGACTTATCGAGGGACTCGATATGAACGATGAATTGACAGGCCAAACGTTCTGATTGAACCTTACTGTAACCCCATGTGCTGCAAGTCCTTCTTACTTGAAAAGCGTAAAGTATATGTTCCCTTCCTATTGTAAGTCGACTACTGGTCACTTTGGTCTATTCCTGTAGCAACATCGACCTGACGCAAGTCAGCTTGGAACATACCAATAACCTCTATTAGATGTGATAAATGATGTAACTCTGTGATTCTGGACGTCTAAAAACCATGCAGAAGCATACACATTTTGTGAGTGTTATATAATGGTATAGGTACACTATGCAAAGTTAACTAATGATTAATTGTTACTCAACTTTTTTTTTTTTCATGAAATCCAAGTTTATATTGTGGGTTTACGTATAAAATGACTGACAGAAAAAAACTGGGCTATTCTCATAGCACGTAATTTTGAGGCTTGTTAAATTTTATATTAAAATTTTTAATCTTAAATGACAATTTCAGTTACCAACGGCTTAATGCTGAATGCATTTTACATACATCATAAAAAAGTGTATCTTTATCTTTTGAAAGCGGCCAGACTGAACTAAGAACAAAATTACACCAGTTCGTAATTCATACAAATTATGATTGATTGTACATCAAGAAGTAATTTTTTAGATTTCAGAGACAAATAGCTATTAAATTCCATCAAATTCAATATGAATAGGTCTTGAAATTTATCAAAAGACGTGATTACTGTTAAAATGATTTCAATTGGAATTTATGGAAACTACGAAACTGCGTTTGGAAACTGACTAAATCGACCATCTAATAATGTTACCTTATCAGATCGGCAAACCTCGATTATATTGAGTCTGTTTGGAAAAGGTTCATGATTTTAGATGTTTAAGGATTGTATTCGTGGACTTATGATATTCGGATCATGATCATCTCGATAACTTCAGCATAAAATAATGGAATGAATTCAAGCAGAAATATCACACTTAATAAAATAATATACCTATATGGAATTGACAACGTTTACTGCTGTTAGTATCACTATTTGTATTAATTACGTTTACTCATTTATAAATAAATCGTCTTAGAATCTCATTAAAATTTAGTCCACACAACTCCTAACCGGTATCGTATAATGTAGGAATTCAATCTTAAAATAGGTATTTCCTTCAATTAATTCATTTAATTGAATTTAATACCTATATGTACATGCACAATATACACAGCAGAAAACAATTAAGAGTTTATGTTCAACCTACCTATGTGCCCATTTTTAGAATAAATTAAGATTACGTATTACTTATTATTATACTAACCTTGCATTTTATTTATATTATTCCTTTAAAGGCGCTGGGCCGATTAAAAAATAACAAATCAAAGTCAAGAATCATATACGGTACAGTATCTTCAGAGGAAAACAATGAATAAGAAATATGCTGCAAACGAAATTAACACATGTTTGAAAAACTTAAGAAAACGGAACGCCTTGGGACAAAAACAAATTTGTTTAAGATATTGTTTAAATTACAAATACATAGTAGGTGCGTTTTGCTTTGTAGGAATACAACACTTATGTAAGATTTACTTATCAAAGTATAACCGGGTTCACATTCATCGAGTTACTTACCTATATTAAATGTTACAGTCGATTACAGGTAACTCGGATTTTTAACGGAATATAAGAACTAGTCTAAAAAATGAGTCATAAGTTAAAATATTTCGTATTATCGATACCATCTTTAGATTGTTATTTTTAATATAGTGGACTGTACGAAAAAAAAATACAATTGCCAAAAAAATTTAAGGACCGTATGTAGTTAACCGTTTTTCGGCACAAAAAAGAGAGACACACGGTTATCGTGGATAATATACAAATCATCTTACCTGACATTTAAATGAAAGACCGGGGGTATATACATATATATTCGTTGCTTCTGAGTAAAACAAAAATACACTTTGAAATTGAAGCACACTTCACCTGCACTGTTTTAATAAAGTCACTTTATTGAAGACACATAATTAAACTAATGTTAGGTTAGGTTTCATGGAAGAGTAGATTTAATAAAAAAATATATTATAGCATCCTACCTAACAATCTTACTTAGCAATCACTATTTTATAAATGCTGCTGCAGGTGGTTTTTTAACGAATTAAAATCTTTGTCATTGTCTCTAAAAGTTTTGTCACAAGTCAGTTAAAGGCAGTGCTGTGAAACATGAATGAATAAGAGTGAGGGGAATAGTAATTTTTAGAGTGCGTTCTGAAAGCCTGTGTGCAGGGTTTGTATTACCTATGCCGACCTCTACAAATTCATTCCGCAGCTTTTGCTGTCCCATACAATTATCATCATATTTACATTTTTGTATAACCATGTTTTTGTTCTAATTAAATTAAATCCAAGTATCGGAAAGTTGGTTTAATTAATCTTTTTTACGCATTGCTAATAAAATGTGAATTCAATTTCCGTTTTCTTATTTGAAATGAAAGTAAATTATTAACCGAAGACTGAGAAAATATGTTTGTAATATATAATTATTACACTCTAAAAGAACATATTTACTTAGAAGAATAAAGTAAAAAAAATGTCTGGCATACACATGGAAAACAATTTTTCACATGCCCGAGTTTATGGAGTTATGTACGTTGTACATTTAGGTAGACAATCATTACTTTTGCCTATAGGTAGATAGTAAGAAATGGAAGGGAACTATAAATCCATTCGGTCTTAATGATTTTTATTAATTTTTAGTATTAGTACATTAAGATAATGTTTTTAGTTACATTAAAATTGGAGTAAAAAAATCTCACAGAAAAAAACATGTGGACAAAAACATTAAACTTATTATTTAGGCACCCAAACATACACTAAATACACGACTAGTAGATATAAATACTTAAAGGATTTGACATTTATTTGTTTTATTTATAACAACTTCGAGATTATACAGTGCGCGCGTGAAGGTTGGAAAAAATTCGATAAAACCGTTACAAAGTGAGTGACAAGAAATCGCTCAGACGGACGGGTCATTTTTTAAATATATTTCTTTATTCTTTCATATTTAAAAAAAATGTTCTAACATTTTTGTAAACGTCATGACATAGGTACGAACGACATTATCGATATATTTTTTTAAATGGTAGATCCCATTTTTCATAGTCATTGATGAGCACATTTTTTACAGCACCAGTATATTACATAACAATATTTTCGAGACAATCATCATTAAACACCATAACATTTATTAGTACTGACGACTTAGTTTTAATTGCTCACACTGTAGGAGGTTAAGGTTCTAACATATGCAGATTATCTAGTCATACTAGTCAGAGGAAACTCTGAAGGAGTAAAATCGAATACCCTTCAAGAGACACTGGATGCATTGAGTAACTGGTGTGACAGCGAACTGATGTCTGTAAACCCTCAAAAAACAGTAATAGTACCATTCACCCGGAAAAGAAGGCTGGAGGAATTATTAAGACCGTCCTTCTTAACGAGTGAAACTATTCCATTTGTAGAAGAGGTAAAACTTCTAGGAATTATACTTTAGCTAAATCACTTAACTGGAACTCTCACAAAGCAAAGTTGTCTTTATGGACATGTCGTCGTGTTTGTGGCAAATCCTGGGGCATGGGTCCCAACAAATTTACAGACGTACCAGTGATAACATACGGATCAATTGTTTGGTGGCCGAAAGGATCACAACGGACGGCCAAAGCCAAACTCTCCAGGATGCAGAGATTAGCATGCATGACCGTAACGGGAGCAATTAGCACCACACCGTCAGCCGCAATGAAAATCCTCCTGGACTTACACCCTCTATATAGGAGAGAAAGGCCAGGTGGGCAACCTACAGACTGCA